GAAGCAAAAATACCACCAGCTGAAACACTTTAAACCAGTTATATAATCCGTTTGAACCAAAATACTGAAGAAATGCCTGGATCTCTTTTTAAGTAGCTTGTAGAATTTTTCACTACTATCAATTCACTTCAGAGATGATTCTTGCCAATTTTAATAAACTTCTGGGGTAAAATTATCCAAAAACACTGTAATTCCAAAATGGCCACTTGAAATATCCGGGGCCTTTTACACAAAACCTAGAAGATGATCTTCATATCTGAGTAATTCAATCACCCGGCAGCCACGAGATGTGAGGGTTACCATTTCCTTCTGCCACACCAGAGGTGCCCCTGGCCTAGGGGTGCCGCTGCGCTCGATCCCGGGAGGAGGTTTTCGGTACTTTGAATAATCCCCTTTTGCCGCTTTTCCCTCCCCCACAACCAGTCTCAGTCCCAAAATGGCGCCGACCCGATCCGCAATGTTCTGGGCCAAGTCTCGCGAGATCGTGAAATTTGTTCTTTTTTATGGTTTAGTAATATTCCCAGATTCAGGTTTTGATGTTGCATTTTACCAGAGGCCAGGATGTTAGGAGGACCGAGAAGCATAATGTCTGCCTGAGTGACACAAATCCCACACATGAGGGCACACCCATATCCTCCTCTGTGTTATTTTGTTCTCTTTGGAGAGTTGGGGGATGTAGAGTCTTTTCCCAGACTTGGGGCAGGGTCATCAACTCCCTCGAGAGCACCACTACATCTATCTGGACCATCCTGATGAGACCAGCTCAGAAAGTCATGTTGGGGTCTCCCTTCCTCAAGTGAGTTCCCTGGAGGTGGGGTTTCTCTCCTGATGTAGATTTTAAGAAAGATCCCACCCTGGTCTCTTCCAGTTCACCATCCAGCACACGCATCTAAACACATCTGATTCCATTTGCACTTCCTGTTGAAAACCCTTCTATGGATCTCTGTCTTCAGGATAAAGTTTACCCACCTTAACCTAGTTTTCCAAAATCTCCCCTTTTCTGACCTGCCCTCCCTTCTCACCTCTTCTCCCCTCTGCTCCTTTCAATGCTGAACCATCACACACTGTTTTGGAGACTGAAGAATTTTGGACAACTCCATGCCTTTGACACACGATCTGGTCTGCCAGGATTGCATCTGTCCAACCCTCTTGCCTCACACGCCCTCTGCCAGAACCCCCCCCCCCCCCCCNTCAGAATGAGGGCTAACGTTACCTTATCACCTTCCCGACACCTCTTAGGTGCAGGGATCTCGCTCCTTCCCCTCCACTTACCTTGTGTAAATCCCTGGGTCATTTAACTTATCATTTGTTTATTAGTTGTGTGGCTGTACCACTGTGGGACTCCAAAGTCCAAGTTGCAATTCTTGAATGAATGAGTGAATGAGTATGTGTTCACACATGCATTTTCAATGATCCTCTAAAGTACTGCATTTCTTTCCAGCCAGTCTTCACACAGGTTAACATGGGGAATCATATTTCCTTCCATTCTAGGCTGAGCTGAACATAACCTATGTAAAATTTTGTTCTACATTTTCCAAATCTGTAAATATGTTATCATACTGTCATAATTTAAAAAACAAAAAAATGGAATTAATAATGAGAAGATTTCTTTTCAGAAAGTTGACAGTTCCAGAGAGTTTAACAATGAAAATCACTGTTTCAGTGACCTTTAACTTTTCCAAAATATCTTGAGGAAGTGAAAAGGGTACCCAGCTCATTTTATAAATTTAGAATAATCTGATGTAAGTATAATCTGATACGAGTAATGGGAAAGAACAGTACAGGAAAGAAAACTTCACGCAATCTAATTCAAGAACATAGATGTCAATATAAGAGCAAGAAATTAAATAGAATTTCAGTTTTAGAAATTGAACTTAGTAGAGTGATAATATTCATAAAGTATAAGGATTTATTCCAAGAGTACAATGATACACCAAAAAACTAGAGAAACTTGTCATTAACAGAATAAGTATAAAATCTATAATGACACATCAATAGATTCAAAACAAATGAAACAAAATTCTGTTAACTATTAATGATGTCAAATAAAACTCTTAGAAACCACTCACCGACGGGTACAAGCTTAACATCATAAAGTGCAGCTATGAAAAACATCCGGCAAGATGGCTTCTTTACTGATGAGTCTTTGGAAGGAATTACATTACATTACAAGCAATACACAATGGCTGGCATCACCCTTGGTCAATTTTCTGTTGCAGGATTTGAAATTTTTGCTTTTACTCCACACACACACATGGCTGGAGCAGGTTTGCCAGCTTGGGGTTTCGAAAAGGGGCTAGAAAGTTTTTCTTTTTTTAAGACTCTCTAAGAAATTTTAGGAACACTTTTTTGTTCTGGGATTCATGGCACCTTGAAGGGGTGAGGATATTTCCTCCTTCGAGTGACTGACATGCCATCTCGAACCCTTCAACCACAAGGACAGGCAGTGCCTCCTGGAGCTGGAAGGGAAGGGGCTTTGGGGCGAGCTTGCCCGGTGGCTCTGGGCTGGCGGCCCCACCATCCTCTTGCGCTGCCTCCATTGTGACTTGGCTTCACCCTCAGTTGGGATGACTTGGAGCAGACCTCTCCCACCTCCCCTGCAGCCAGACCTTCCCTGTCCCTTCACCTGGGGACATGCTCATTCCTGCACCATCACCTGGATGGGGAGCTTCCTGGGGACACTCACACCACCTCCTTCACCACTGAGGCCAGTTCTCAGAGCTGGGTCTGGGATCGGCTTCTCCCAAAGCCCGTGGCACACGCAAGGGGAACAGATGCTGAATAAACCTGTGGTTCCGGGGAGGCAGCTTACAAAATGCCCGGCAGACCCTTCAGCTCCTCCCTGAGAATAAAAGCGTGGTCGCTGAGAAGGAGACGATGGCTACCCACGGGACGGTCTAGAAAGAGAGTGCTGGGAAGCTCTGATGGAGTGGGAGGTACTTAGGGGGTCTCTGAGCCAGGTGCAGACACCCAGTGCATCTCATGGAGAGGAGAGGACAGTGTGCAGGGGAGCAGTCCACGGGGAAAGCGTTTAGAAGCAAGGAGACCAGGCTGGCTTAGGAGCCTCAGAAACCAGACGTGAGCTTTGGGACAAACATCTGAGGGACGGAAGTCCTCAAAAGCTGCTGTTACCCCATAAATTTTCTCCAGAGGGTCTTGTGAATTTAGGAACCTAAGACTTTGATTCCTGAGTGTCCCTAGAAAAGAGACTGTTGGTTTTTTTTCCCCCCAGGCAGCCACAGCCCTGCATGGACACTTCCGAGGAAGACAGTGGGCCTGATGTGGGATGACGTAGGATGAAGACAGGCTGCTTGGGCTTGGATGTAAGATGAGCAACTGCCTTCCTTCCATGGTTCCTGCATTCCCTCCATCCAGGCACTTCCATCCGTGGGCAGCTCCTTGGCCTCTCCACAGACCAGGGCCAGGAAGCACTCTGTGTTTGGGGACTGTGAAAGGAATCTGGAAATGGTTAGGAAAGAGAGATTCTAGATAGAAGGGGAACTGTGAGGAATTATTGCATGTTATCGTAGTCACAACCAGGGAGCTTAACCACTAGTGCAGAACCAGTATTGTTTTCTGAGAGGGAGACCCAGTCTAATCAGCCTCCTCCTCCATTCAAGAGCCAGGAGAGCTTGAATGACCAGCTGGCTCAGGCAGTTTCCCTGGGCTCTGCTTGAGGTGGAATGTTTCTCCCACTGAGCCCATTAGGGCTTCTGTAAAGAAAGATATGATTTAGAAAGAACAGGAAGTTTCTACAACCCATAAGGAAAAGTGAGTGATGAAATAGTAATAGAAACTGGCCCAAAGATACGCACGAATAGGCATTTCACCAAAGGACTACAGCTGAGCTAGAGACATATGGAAAAGAGACCAAACTCACTGGCAGTTGGAGAAATGCACACTTTAAAAGATGTTTTATGAGCATTCCTAATCAGCCAGAAATTTTGAAAAATTTAATAAAATTCAGAGTTGCGTAATGTCAGGAATATGGACATCGTGTTCTCCTGGTTGGTATGTAATTGTAATGGCCCTTGAAATGCTATTGGACTGCTGTTCCTTTAAATGGGAGAATGACTTCTGCTGTATAAACAGACCATGTTTAATTTATGCATTCGACGATGAATGGATGGACATTTGGGTTTTTACCACTCTTTGATATGAATAAGGAAACTATGAATATTCATACACAGTATTCTGTGTGGACATGTTTTCATTTCCTTGGTTTTCATTACCTGGTAGAGAGTTGGCTTATACATCCTCCACATGCTGAGATTCTGATGCATGTTTTCAACAAGGAGCTCTTCTGGGTTCTTATAACTGTAACACCCTCACTAGTCTGAACCATGTGGGTTTTGATATAAAAATAGAACAAATGTCAACATGTGCATACCTTTCTCCCCTGTGGACACAACACACACAGGCTGACATGTCCTCCAGCTGCCCCGCCAATCGTGACCCACACCTGGAACAGGCGAGGGTCTGTTTACCTGCCTTTGCCCTGAGTGATGCAGGAGGGCTCTTAAGACCAGCCAGCCAGGACGTCAGACTGGTCCTGCTTCTGCCACTGGCGCCCTGGGATGTGGGCAAGTCCCTTGGTCTCTCTGGGTCTCAGTTCCTCTCCATCCAAGTCGTGCTGAGGTTTATGAAGTAACTAGGGGTGGACACGCTGTACCTGGACCCCAGGGAAGAGGGCCCTGCAGACAGGGCATCCTGGTGGTCTGGGGCTCATTTGTCAGCCTTCATCGAGGACCACAAAGACAGGAGAGGGAGAGAAGGAACAGGTCATCATTTTCCAGTCCGGGTGGGAAAGGACACAGAAAATCTCTGGTGAAGACAAGGTGGGCAGCAGTAGGCAGCCCCCTTCTCCTAGAGAACCCGGGGTTCCCGCAGCCCTGCGAGGCTGGGCTCCAGGGGAGGAGGAGATCAGGTGTCAGCTGCTGTGTGTATATAGCCCCAGGCCTCGGGGGCCAGGCTCACTGCTGAGGCCGGGGCCAGGTTGCGAAGATGAAGCTGTCCAGTGCCATCCCTTGGGTCTTGCTGCTCAGCACAGGTAAAGCCTGGCCCCCAGCCCCCTGCCTCCGGGGCCTCTCTGCTTCCTGTTCACCTAGAGATCTGTGCAGTTCGCTTGTTGCTGCGGAAGAGGGTCTGCAAGCTGCCCTCCTCCAAGGAGATGCTGCCCTCAGCCTGGCCTGGAGGAGGAGGGTCCATCAGGACGGCCATGACCCACGGCTGAGCATATAATGACTCTCAAACATTTTCTGGGCTCTCCCTCCTTGTTCTGACATGTGTTTTCTGGGCCCTCTGCCTCCCCTCTACCTCAGCCTTATGCCAATAGCCCCTGGGATGCCCGATGGGACAGCCAGTCCTCAGTCCAGACCTGGAGGAGGTGAACCAGCTGTGGGCAGCTTTGCAGGGGTCTTGGAAGTGTGATGGTGTGGGTGCTGGAGGTGGGACTCGGGTTGCACCTGATTGGAGGGGGCATCCGAGGGGAAACAGGGACCCCTGGAGAAGTCCCAGGACAGATGGGGTGCTCTGCCTCTGCTCCCCGGGAGGGAGATGTGGCAGTAACATGAACTCTGGGTTGAGCAGCAGGGCTGAGGACGTCCTAACTGGGGTCTTAGCCTTGCAGGGGGCTGGGCGCTGGGCCTGCACTGAACGCAGAGGGATCCATGAGGATTCTCGGTGCTGGAGGGAAAGAAGGGGACGGCTGTACCTTCAGGGAAGCCTGTGTGTCCTTCTTTCCTTGCTCTCTGTGGGTCTCATTCTGTCCTTCTCTCTTCTCTCCCCTTTTCTGCTCAGACTGCTCTTTTCATCAGCCCACACTCTGCTTCCCTCCCCATCCCCTGCTCCCCTGCAGGCAACTGTAGTCATGACTAGGAGCCGTATGGGAAGCAGGTGGAAGGACGGGCTTGCGCTGTCAGCATGTGAGCACAGATCCCTCTTAGCATTTATCCCAGTCTCCTGTGATCAGGACCTTCCCGTTTCCCTGGTCTGGGGGCCTCACGGTTCTCTCCTGGGACACTTTGTGGGCAGCTTGTAGGTAGAAATGTGTCCATCAGAGCCCTTCCTGCGTCTGCAGTTTCTCAAGCACCATCAGTTCAAATCGACAGATCAAGGCAGCATGCTTTGGGGTGAACTCCTACAAGGGGCTTCTTGTTCCCCTGCTTCAAAGCTGGGACCTCAGATTCTAGATCAGAGGAGGTCACTGTACATGTGGGTCCATGATGGGAAGATGTGTGATTCTGCCCTTGAGATCCACTTTCAGAGNTGGGGAGGTTTCCTCTGTGGCCCCCAATCCTAGGCCACTTCGGTACTCAGGACGGGCAGCTGGAAACGGACCCCAGTGTCTTGGTTGACATCTCTGGTCACATAGCTTCCAGAGCACTTGTTGATTTCAATTTACTGAGGAAAGCAGTGTCAATGGAGAAGGAAACGAATGTGGTGGGTGCTTGACAGTGGCGGGGAGCATAGTGGACAGCCTCTCTGGGCTGGACGCTGAGCTGTGTACACGTGGACTGTCCTCTGGAACCAAGGAGGCTGTTACTATTAAATTTCCAGTTTACAGGTGCATGGACTGAGGTTTGTGAGAATAAATATCTTGCCTAAAGCCATCCGGCTCTCACCCGAGCAGCACTGGGCCCCAGTCTGTTTCCTGAGTGGGGCTGTGCCCACTTATCACGCCCTGAGGATAAACCACAAACCACAACAGAGGAAACAGTGATTGCTGTCAGGTCCCTGACTCAGTTCCCTGATACGGTGAAACTTTCCTAAATTAAGAATGTTCATTTCTTCTCAGCTGAGATTTTTATTCCATGTATTTACACCAACAGCAAACTCATCATTGGTTTCATTGAAGAATTAAAAGAAATACTCAAATTATTTTTGAGTGCCCCTCTGTCCTGATTGGCCCGGGACTGAGAGGTTTCCTAGGAAACGGCAGGTTCATCCTGCCGAGCAGAAACTCCCAGGTTAACTGGAGAAGCCTCTCAGCCTCCTGAGAGCTGACTTGTCTGACTGTGGCTCCAGAGCCCGAACGTTCACTTTCACTGAGTGGAACCGAGAAACGAAGGGTCACAGCTGAACGAGCGAGTCTTGAAGGCGGAGTGCCAGACCTCCTTCCTGCTCTGTCCCTGCAGGACCCGGCTCTTCCCGGGCCGAGGGCGGACAAGTACTGTGCGCCCAGCACCACCCCTGGAAGCACAGCCCCTCCTCACAGGATGCGCGCTGTGTGTGCTAATCCCCTGACACTCCAGTAACTTCCAGCTTTTCATTTGTTGTTCTCTTTTGATGTCTTTCCAGCCACAGTGGATTCATTAGACTGGCTCCCCCGTAAGTACAGTCTCAACCCTTACCATTTTATGCTCCCACGGGGAGAAGTGCTTTAGGGCTTCAGTTCAGATGCCTCTCCTGGAAACACTGGAGTCGGTTTACCTTTTGGTTAAAGGAACTTGGCATTTCCGGAGCTGACCGTCAGCCTTGGTCTTAACAATCCCTAGGGTCCCATACCCTGACCTCCCATGACTGCCACCCTGTTCCTTCTCCCCTCCCCTCCTCACCTCCACAACCCAGGAGCTTCCCCTGCCCTTCTGCCTGCACAGCCTCAGGAGGCAGGAATGGGACCACCTCTCCACAGCGCAGGGGTCCCAGAACAATGGAGCCACCTTCAAAGGCAGAGCCTGGAGGGCCGAGGGGCATCACCATGTGCAGTGTCAGATATGAGAGCCTCCAGGCAGAGGGTGTGTCGGCATCAGGGGGGCACTGGGCAAAGAGAAAGGTTTCCTCCTGATGTGGGGGCTGATAGATGACTGAGTGATTGATGACTGATTGAATGACTGGTGATTGATTGATCGACGATTGATTGATTTCCCTAGTGATTTTCAGGTCCAGGTAAAATTTGAACTCATTTGATCAAAACACCAATGATGACAGTGCTGTTTTATCTTCACTTGACGAACTGTGGGCTTCTGCGGTGGCTCAGCTGGTAAAGAATGTGCCTGCAGTGTGGGCTATCTGGGTTGGTCCCTGGGTTGCGAAGATGCCCTGGAGAAGGGAACAGCTACCCACTCCAGTATTCTGGCCTGGAGAATTCCATGGACTGTATAGTCCATGGGGTCACAAAGAGTCAGACATCACTGAGTGACTTTCACTTTCAGTTGACAAACAATATTTTGTTGACAAGGTGTTACACTCGTATTTTTCAGGGATCAAGACAAACTGTAGTAAAGGGTATGGATCTCTTTAAAATTCTGAAAAGATGAAAATCTTGAAAACCACGTTTTCCTAGGTGCTCAGACTGGACGGCAGATGTCTGTTTGTGATTGGGGGGTGGGACCCGGGACCACTGCAGTGGGGTGGGGGAGGGGTGGCACAGAGCCCGGCAGCCTGGTGCACCTTCTGGGAGACTGGAATCCCTCCTTCTGTTGTAGGGAATACTAACTGCGGGGGAATCCTCAAAGAAGAGTCTGGAGTGATCGCCACCTATTACGGACCGGAAACTAACTGTGTCTGGACTATCCAGATGCCACAAGAGTACCAAGTTAGGGTGACTATCCAGAACCTCCAGTAAGTGCTGAGTGGAGTATTCTTTGCTGATGTTGTGGTTTTATGGGAAGGTGTCCTTCTTTGCCCCTTCCCTTTCCCCCTGCACCACCCAGCACACACATCCGGACTCATCCTGACTCCAGCTCACTCCTGCTGATGACCCTGCATGGCCCCCTGCCCTCTGCATAAAGCAGACCCTCCTTGCATGGCTTTCAGATCCCTCCAGGGGACCCCTGATCTGCCCTCCCTTCTCACCTCTTCTCCCCCTGCTCCCTCTCTGAGCTGAGCCAGCACACTCTGAGCTGTGGACCCACCAGACTGTTGGGCAGCTCTGAGCCTTTGCTCACACTGTCCCCTCTGCCTGGAAGGCAGCTCCTGTCTCTCCCAGACTTACCACCTGCTGCTTAGGGTCCTCATTTCCTAGTGCATAATTTCACTGGAGGAAGAACGTTTCCATCACACCTGAAACCCCTGCTCTGATTCTGTCCACAGCTGGGCAGATCTTTCTCAGATTTGTGCCCCATGTATTACCTGCTTTGGGAAGATCCCCTGGAGAAGGGAATGGCATCCCATTCCAATATTCTTGCCTGGAGAATTCCACGAATAGAGGAGCCTGGTGGACCACAGTCCATGGGGTCTCAGAGTTGGACTTGACTGAGGGATGATGCATGCACCATTCCTACCCATGTCTGAGTTTGTGCCTACAAGAAAGGGAGTCTTATTTTTGGCGGTCAAGAAGTATTTTTTAACGAGTGAGTGCGTGGATGAATGAAAGACTGAATGAACAATTAAAAGACAGAATGGATGAATAATCCTGCAACAGAAAGCACTGTCAATGTAGCAATAAGTTGTAGCATTTCTATAGTAGGTTACTCTTCACAGATATTAACATAGGAGCCACATTTCCATCAACTGCAGACCAAGTGATATATAGTCCACAATGGTGGTTGAGACAGGTGATGTTATCTTGTGACTGAGGGCCCTGTCCCTCCAGACCTTCTATGAGGTCAGGTCTCCCACTAGGCAGAGGAGCTGCTCCGTGTGAGGAGGACAACCTGGAGATGCCTGCCCCATAGCAAGGCTCAGACCATCTACCCAAACCACACGCCAGGGCTGAAGGAGGCAGGCATTTCCTGCATCACCATTTCTGTTAGGGGCAGAGGGATAGATTATCCTAAAAGTTTTCATTATTGTCCCTTTGACCCTCTCCAAGGCCAGTTTTGGATATGACTGTCCTTGGGGCCAGGAAGGAATCGGTCCATCCAACAGCAAGCTAGTCTAGAGGGAGCTGAGTCTGTGTCCTGGTGAGTTGTCCCTTCTGGGTCTCGTTTTAACCCAGAGAGGCTCCAACCTCCCTCCTGGGTGGGACACATGCTGGGGGCTGAGAGAGGAAGACAGGGTGGGGTCAGGTCTGATGGGCAGGAGGAGGAGATGGAGACCTCAGCAGGAGTGTGACAACCCGTGTGTGCACTTTGCCCACAGCAGGGAGAGCTGGATGCCCCTCTCGCCTCTGCAGGTCCCGGAGGCCAAGCAGGGGTCCTGGGCCCCCTGTGCCAGGGGTGCAGAGGGTGAAGCAGAAGTGGAGTCACACACGCCTGTCTGGGCCTCACCTGACTCCATGCTTGTTGCCCAAGGAAACGGTCCTCAGGGTTGACTGTACTATTCCCTCCAGTGGCTCCTGATCCCAGAGTCCTGGGTGGGCTTCCCTGAGCCCCATCAGTGGGGCTGCCCAGGAGGCAAGGAGTCACCTGCAGCCCTGGTGTGGGGAGGGTCCTGGGTGACCACCACCCCCTCCTCCAGAAGGGTGAGTCTCCCTCCCCGAGGGCACCATCCTGGGAAGTCTGGTGCGCAAAGCTGTGTGATTGCATTGGGTCTGGACAGGGGACACTGCCTGCTGGAGGGACTATGATTCCAAAGGCTGATGCCTGTCCTTCTCACTGTTCCAACAGCCTCAATTGTGATAAAGAGTCCCTGGAGATTATAGATGGGCTGCCAGGATCTTCTGTCTTAGGGAAGATTTGTGAAGGTTCACTCCTGGACTATAGATCTTCTGCCAATATCATGACTGTCAAGTACATCAGAAAGCCTGACCACCCAACTTCTTCCTATGAAGTGTTATACTTTCAGGATCCACAAGGTAGGTAAAATGAGGCAGGCACCTACTAATAAGTCCTCCCTCTCTGTTCATGGTGCAGGAAAGTTGGGCGTGTGGTGTTTTTGTGACTGTTGAAATAAACTCAATTGTCAGTAGATGAGCCAGAGGCAGTGTGACCTAGTGAGCCTCTCCAAAAACATCTACCAGTTCTATGACAGCATTTCTGCATCCCCAGATCTTGCAGTTGTGAAGATCTGACATGAAAATTCTTTTACAAGTTTTACTTTACATCTAGACAAGATGATCATTTCCTCTCAAATACAAAATTTCCCTTCTTGATCATATTAAAATCCCTTAGGCATATATCACTTTAGTCACTCAGTCGTGTCCGACTCTTTGCGACCCCATGGAGTACAGGGGTAGGCCTGTCCATCACCAATGCCCGTTTATTCAAACTCATGTCCATTGATTTGGTGATGCCATCCAGCCATCCCATCCTCTGTTGTCCCTTTCTCCTCCCGCCTTCAGTCTTTCCCAGCATCAGGGTCTTTTCAAAAGGGTCAGTTCCTCGCATCAGGTGGTCTATGTAGTGGAGTTTCAGCTTCAACATCAGTCCTTCCAATGAATATTCAGGACTGATTTCCTTTAGGATGGGCTGGTTGGATCTCCTTGCAGTCCAAGTGACTCTCAAGTTTTCTCCAACACCACAGTTCAAAAGCATCAATTTTTCGGCTCTCAGCTTTCTTTATGGTCCAACTCTCACATCCATGCATGACTACTGGAAAAACCATAGCCTTGACTAGACAGACATTTGTTGGCAAAGTAATGTCTCTGCTTTTTAATATACTGTCTAGGTTGGTCATAACTTTTCTTCCAAGGAGTAAGCATCTTTTAATTTCATGGCTGCAGTCACCATCTGCAGTGATTTTGGAGCCCCCCCGAAATAAAGTCTGTCAATGTTTCCACTGTGTCCCCTTCTATTCGCCATGAAGTGATGGGACCAGATGTATATGTAACCTAAAGCAAACCAAGCACAGTCCCTCAAGAGTGTATTTTTTCCTCATTAATGATTGACGGCAATTTCGCCCACATGTCAATTGGAAGAAAATGCTTCTTAAACTCTACTTAACCTGTTCTCCATCCCACAGCTTAGTGATCTCTGCTCAGGCTTGAGTGGACAAATGTTGCAAAAGAGAACAACATTCCTTGAAGACCCTCTGGAATCAGCTGCCCACAAGGAGAGGCATCTTCTGATCACCTGTCTAATCACACCTGCTGCTCTCACCCTGTCACCTCCATCCTTTCCAGCTCCCAGTCTCCTAACTGCAGAAAGATTCCTTATTATTGGGCTTTAGATTGTTGCCAGTCTTGTGGTTAGTTCCTTCTATTTATCACTATAATCATTTTGAATAAAGTCTCTTTACCTGAGTCTGGATTTTTTTTTTTTAGTTTGTGAGGCCTGGTGTCACAGGGTTGGAACCCCAGGCATCGCTGAGAGTAGTTGAAACCCCTTCTGAAGGTCTTTATACCCAGAGGGGTTCTCATTGGTCTGAGGTCTCTCTCAAGACAAGAGTGCTGTTTATTTATGATTTTCCTCGCCTGCAGAAGAAAACCTTCTACAGACATAGAAATGAGATGCTGGCCTGGCTCTCTGCCAAGTTTCAAGCAATGTGCTTGAGGACAAAGAATCTTTGGTGAGGATATGTTGAATGTCTTCTGATTCCCACCATCCAACTATCAATTATATTGCATCATAGTCTCTTTTAAAGGTCTTCGGAGAGTAAAACATAAAGTTCACATTGTTTGGGGGCTCATCGAGTTGGGTGATGTTGCATTTTATCAGACCAGGCATTAGGAGGGTCAAAATCACAGTGGCCTCTGGATGGCACAGCCCCTTAGAAGCATGCAACTGCTTCCGTGTCCTTTTCTTCTGTTCAGAGAGGAGCGGGAGTGTGGGGGTCTTTTCACGAACTTGTGGGGGGAACCATCAACTCCCTCAGGCACAATAATCCATGTGTGTGGACCATCCTGATGAGGTCAACTCAGAAAGTCACGCTGGAATCTCCCTTCCTCAAGTGGGTTCTCTGAAGGTGATTTTCCTTTGCTGCTATGGTAGATTTTAGGATCTTTTCCAGTTCACCCTGCACCATCCAGCACAGGCATCTAACCACGACCTGGTTCCATTTTTCACTTCCTGGTTGAAAACCAGCCCATAGAGTTTACCTGTCTTAGCAGAGTTTTATCACACCCTTCTTCACCTGGCCTGCCCTCCCTTCTAACGTCCTCTCCCCTCTGGCCCCTCTCCGGGCTGAGCCATCACACACTGAGCTTTGGACATGGCACACCTTTGAGCAACTCTGAGCCTTTGCTCACACTGTCCCCTCGGCCAGGAGTCCATCCTTCCAACCTTCCAGACACATCTGCCTGCTGCTCAGGGTCCCCATGAAGCACCTCCTGGTCCAGCTGAAGGGCTGACTGCCATCGTATCTTTGGGACTCCCTCACCTCATGTAGGTCTCTATGCAGTTTAAGAATACAGCTGCTGTTAGACACTCAGTCATATTCAACTCTTGGTGATCCACAAATGGAACCTGGGCAGCCTGCATTGCAGGCAGATTCTTTGCCATCTGAGCCACCAGGGAAGTCAAGTATACAGTACCAGTTGCTTATTTATTCAGTGGGTACCACTGCGGCACTCAAACTTTAGGGTCCTACTAGTAATTCTTAAATGAGTAAATGAGTGATAAGGTCAGAGTTGTGTTTTCAGTGTTCCAACGAGACTCTGCTTTTCTCTCCAGGTAGCCTTCAGTGTTAACATGGGAGTCACGTTTCCCTCAACCATAGGCTGAGCCAAACAAAGACCAGAAAAGATGCTGAGACAGAAGATGCCATCTGTGTGAGGCAGGGTCTCTGTCCTTCCAGACTTGATGTGGGGTCTGGACCTATACTAAGTCACTCTCGTGTGCCCAAGGATGAAACGCCTTGCAGACGGCTGCAAAATGGGGTTTAGACTCTATTCAAACGGTGCTTCTGTAAACTTGAAATAGTGTGGTCAAGAATCAAGACTGGGGTGCAAACTCAAAGAGGTAGGATTGACAATGCACGCATTTCTGATGGCTTATATAATTTCTCCAGGGTTCAGATGGTTAGATGGCTCTGAAAATTTCTCTGCTTTGGCCCTTTGCCAGTTTCAGAGATTTCAGGCTCTTCCTGTCCTTATCTCTGCGAAGGCTCTGTTTGGTCAAGGGTGAAACCTGTATAGAAGGTCCTGGTGTGTGTTCTTCCTGAACATGTCCCCTGCCTCCTGCTGGATCCCTTAGAGCCTCCAGCCTGTCCGCTGTGAGCAGGGCATGTGCTTGTGGCTAAGTGAGGATAAATGAAGGGATTAGGAGTTAAGAGCAGAGGGGGCTTTGAAGGCCAGAGAGAGAAGCAGAAGGACCTCCTTAAGACTAGGAAGGTGCTCCACAAGAAGATGGACACGACTTGTGCCTCTGATCCTGCCCTTGGACAAAAGCTTGGCTGCTGGAGCCATGCAGCCCCACCCCCAACCCCATCCACCAGGGGAGGGGTGGTCAGAAACCGAGGAGAGGCATCTACACACTCATGTCAGAAGGAAAGCTTTGCTTCTGAAGACAGAACAATGAAAGGTTTTATTTTCTGCAGAAGCATTCATCCATCTCTGCGAGGCACTCGTCAGCTGCTTCCTGAGCTTTCCTTCTCCTGGGCAGCACTGTGTAACCTCAGTTGGTGTATTATGTTGCTTTTCCCTGGCATCTACCTGGAGAAAAGAATTCCTGGGTAAACAGCTCATCATGAAGCCCGTTGATGATTCAAGGTGTGGGGATGGCAGGCAGGTGACAAATGGAATGCTAGTGACCAGCTAGGACATGGCTGTCTGGAGCAGAGCCCCACGGAGACTCTCCAGGCATTCGTGTACAGCCCAGAGTCCTAACACCTCCAGGGTGAAAATAGGTTTGTCATAGGCCTGAGGGAGACTGACTGATGGTCCTGGGCGATGTTGCTGTAATGACCTCTGGCTGTCACAGGAGGGGCCGTAGCTTTCAAACAGGTGGACAGAAAGCCTTTGGCCACATGGATGTGGGCAATGGCCATGCATCGGGGTGTTCCCAAAATGACGTGGGTTAGAAAGATCATGATGACACTGACAGTGACTCCTCAGAGGAATCATGAAAAACATCAGCCCAGAGTCTATTTCTCAAAGTTGCTTCAGCTTTGATTCCANATGACGTGGGTTAGAAAGATCATGATGACACTGACAGTGACTCCTCAGAGGAATCATGAAAAACATCAGCCCAGAGTCTATTTCTCAAAGTTGCTTCAGCTTTGATTCCAATTAGACACATCTGGGCTTTAGATCTAACCTTCTTTCTCTCTCTCACAGACGCCCGGCCCCAGACCACACACTGGCCAGGTGAGGACCCAGCCTCCCATCTCAGAATGTCACTTCTCTCCCTGCCCTTCCCCCCATAATATAAACCAGTCCACGTGTCCCTTCTGGACGTACGGCTTACTCTACCACTGGCAATATTCGTGCTCAATGGGGGCTTCGTTTTAAGGACTCACAAGGCCTTGCAGAGCTTACACTTGCTCTGTGTGTGTGTGTGTGTGTGTGTGTGTGTGTGTCTGTGTCTGTGTGTGTGTGTGTGTGTGTCTGTGTGTCTGTGTGTGTGTCTGTGTGTCTGTGTGTGTGTGTGTGTGTGTGTGTGTGTGTATGCTCAGTTGCTTCAGAAGAATCTGACTTAGTGTGACCCCATGGACTGTCTCTGCACTGGCATGTGAATTCTTTCCCACTGTACCTACTACCTGGGAAGCCAAAAAGAACATGGAAGTGAAAGTCGCTCAGTCGTGTCTGACTCTTTGCAACCCCTTGGACTAGACAGTCATGGAATTCTCCAGGCCAGAATACTGGAGTGGGCAGCCTTTGCCTTCTCCAGGGGATCTTCCCAACCCAGGGATCAAACCCATGTGTCCTGCATTGCGGGCAGATTCTTCACCAGCTGAGCCAACAGGGAAGCCCCCCCAAATATTAATACATATAACTGAATCACTCTGCTATACACCTGAAATATTGTTAATCAACTCCATTCCAATATCAAAGAAAACTTTTAAAAATGAAAAGTTTTTTAAAAGTAAAAAAAAAAAAAGAAAGAGAGAAAAGCCACCTGGGGCAGAGCTGCAGGAGTAAGAAGGACCAGGAGGCTGGGTTACCATGGAGATAAATAAAACTTTAATAATGATGGGAAGCAGTTTTGCACATGTACTCTTTCCAGGCATTCTCTTTTTCCAGGCTGGTGGCCTGTGATGCATAACTGGGGTAGATCCCCCGAGACAGAAAATCCTGATTCATTAGCAAGAGGTCTCCAGGAAATTCTGCCACGTGCAAAAGACTTCTGTTTGTTAAGCCAGTGATGGACCTTTCCACTTTCTTTGCGGGGAGGAACGGTTTTAGATCATTTGGATGGTACGTTATGCATTTTTTGGGTTCTTCTGACTTGAAAATGACATTCATTTTTATTTCTTGTCTTTTGGAGGTTTTGCTCTCCACCTTGCCTCTCCCCTCTTGATGGGCATCGTTGCCATCATCCTGGCCTTCCCCAGCCCTGGCCCTTGCCGTGGAGCCCAGGTCCCCTGAAGGCAGAAGCGAAGAGCCCCTAAACCTTTCAATGTAGGGTAAGAGCTGCTTGCTCCGCAGGGCTCTTGCCAGCTGCATACGCTCTATGTGCTTGCTGATGTTCAGCCTTTCCCGCCGGGGCATCCTGAACTCCTCCGGGGACACGATCACCTTGGCTGTCCACATTTTCCCCAGGGGCCCACAGGTGGCACAAGGAGGGGTGTGCTGCAGTTTATAGTCCACCACCCGTTTGTAGTCTGAAGACAGTGTCTGTAGCTCCTTGAGCATTTTCTGTTCTTCCTCTTGCTTGTAAGTCAGAAACCTCCTGGCTGCCACGGTGTGAACGCCACCTAGACGCTGACAAGTGGGAAAAGGTGTGTGAGTCTTGCAGTCGTGTCCGACTCTCGGCAACCCCGTGGATTAGAGCCCACCAGGCTCTTCTCCAGGCAAGAATGCTGGAGTGGGTTGCCATCCTCTCCTCCAGGCCAGTGGGCAGGGGGCTGGGGGGCGAGGGGAGAGAGGTGGTGGTTAAAATCTCAAGGGGATTGATGTGTTCGTTTAATCCACATGTGGGTGAATTTCTACAGTATTTGTCTTTCTTAATCTGATTTATTTCACTTAGTATGGGCTTCCCTGGTGGCTCAGAGGGTAGAGTGCTGCCTGCAATGTGGGAGACCCAGGTTTGATCCCTGGGTCAGGAAGATCTCCTGGAGAAGGAAACGGCAACCCACCCCAGCATTCTTGCCTGGAGAACCCTGGACGGAGGAGCTCACCAGGCTGCAGGGAGTCAGAGA